CCATGGCAGTGGGAGGAGAGTAGCACAGCTGGCGACGGCCACAGCAGCGCAGGCAGCGGCGCACGGCAGCCGCGTGTCAGTGCGTCGAGTGTGCTGTTTTTTTTGTTTGGAAAAGGAAAGAATTCTGACTCGATTTCGTTTTACACCTGCAACAGAGAGACAAAACGCAGGAACGGCAGGGCACCCACACCCAGGCAGGAGCATGGCCGGCAGCGACCCTTCCCCTGTGCATAGCACTCGCACGACCGCATCTGTGGTATTGCCATCCCCCCAAATATAAAGATACTGGACCGAGCGAGTCTGGCAGAAAGCTGCAATGATGGTCAGAGATCAGCATGAGTGACCAGGCGAGGCTGAGAGATGGGCTTTTTCAGCCTTAAAAAGGGAAGGCTTTTTGTGAATCCAATTCATTGGATTATATCTATGTTTGAACTGAATAATGTGTAGTTACACCAGGTTAACACCCTGCTTTGAACAGCTTGCTTCACTCACTTGAAGCATAGCTTGTGAGAGGGGTGACCTTGATGGGTTGTTTCTCTACTCTCACAGTATCAGTCAGAACTCATGAATAAACAGCAAGGAAGAGTAATCTTAAAGCATTTCTGTGCACCTCTGCAGTAACAGCAGGCAGCCAAAGCCCACGAACTTCAAAGCGTTAACAAATACCGATTTACTAATTAGCCATATCTGACAATCCATTCCTATATATCATTAATGGTATTTCAAGCAGATTGTAAAAGCTTATCTTTACTTTCAGCTTTTTAGCTGTAAACTTTCACAAGCATACATGCAGTGTACCAGGTGCTTGATACAAGATGCTGATAGAATTTTATATAGTCATCACTTGCATAGGTATCTTGCAGTGGTGTTTACAGCCTTCGGTTTTAAATGAATAAAAAATCCTTTCCCTGTAACACCAAGCAGTTTTCCTTGCCCTCTTTCCCCCTCCAGTTACTGGCAGCTTCACTTTAAAGTGCATTAACCAGTTTAAAAGCCTTCAATTCAGTTCTAAACGTGAGTAGCTCCTGTGGTTTGGGTGTTTTGTTTTGTGGGTTTTTTTGTTTTTGTTTTTTTTTTAAATAGTAAAAAGCATAATTGTTTGGAAGATAATCAAGCTAGACCTATTTTAAAGGGGTTGCAACCTTGATCCAGCCCTGTATCTATTATATTAATAAACCAAAGTATGCTGTAACTCAAAATATAACCCCCAACCCACATTTCCCATTACAGCCATTGTTTTTGAAGCCTTGAAGAACTGAAGGAAGCAAAACTATATAAGACAGCTGCTTTCTTGACTAGTGTAGTTAAGATAAGGCAAGCCCTCAAAGCTCCTCAACGGTAACAGTATTAAGATGTGGCATCTTGAGAAGTATCTGACCCAGAAAACAGAGGTTTGTTTTCTGCTATACTTCAAGTAAGTCAGAGGACATTGCTTCACCAAGGCTATTACTGTCCATCAAAACTACAGCAAAGTTTGGACACACCGTCTACATAGTGCAATTACTAAAGTGGACAGAGGAGTACTTCACTTGAAGAATTTAACAAATGGCCACTCCCTCTCGGGGTGGATTACCAAGGGAACCCCTATCTGCATTGTGGAAGTTAAATACAAACCTAAATGAGCTTGAAGTAAGTGTATACTATCAACTGCATTTGAAGCTCATTCAACCTGTTACCAGTGTTGCAAGTGCTGCTAATTAGATCATAATTGTGGAAGAATGGCAACACTGGGTCAAGAAACTTATTTACCTTAGTGAATGACTGTAAGGTAGGACCTTCACAGCTGTCCTTTTCCTGACAACAGCTTCCAGCAATCCTGACCCAGGACTTGATCTGAAACTTTGCATGCAACAGCCATGCAGTTTGTGAAACCATCCATTTCCTTTTTTTCCAACCCATTTCTCCTTTTATCCTCTACATCTTGCTATGTGCCTTCCACAACACAGGAAGCGCATTAGCCTTTTTAAGTCACTTACAAACGATACTGCTTCACACACCCTTTAGTTTGCACCTCTGAACTTAGAAACCTCTTTTTATGCTATTTGACATAGATGTTGAATAAACTTGTACTCATATGCTGTTTTGACCTTCAGGCAAGAACAGCTTCTGAAACATCAGTTCCATCTTCCCTGCCACCTGGGTCATTCATTAAAGACTTACGGAATGTGTGCTAATACAGCAGATTGTCTAAGAAACCAAATGTTTTATGGCAAGAAGATTTTTTCAGTCTGCAATACCAGACACAGTTATTTCATACATTAATTCTCTTCAGTTTATCTCCTGCAGTTGAAGAGAACATGGCACAAGTTATGAAAGTTAGTCAGATGTTTATTCAGCATGGCCAACAGTTTGGCAAGTTAGCGCTTTCCACCAACACGAGGAGCAGAAACCTTGACAGGTTTCACAATCTTCTGCTTAGGTGCTGCCTTTGTAGGAGCCTGTAGAGAAATAAGAAAGTATGAGCAAAGAGAAGCAATTTATCTGCAGTCCTTAAAGTGTCCATGTGTATTTAAGATTTGTGACAGAAATTGGCCAACATAAATCAGATCAGATTAGAATTAGATTAGAATTACAATCTATCAGATTATAATCATGTTAACAGATTGTTACACATATATGACTGTAAGCCATCAACATGTATGATGCCAACATAGGGTATTAATTCATAAGTAATAATGAAATAGATGCTAGCATTCATCAGTACACTGTTAAAAGTTCCTAGAGAGAGGAGATGTCACATCCAGACAAGTTTTTTGCTGTCAAGAATCTCTGACATAGGGTCGTAAAGTTGTTTTACTGTCACATTTATTTCCTGTGTAAAAAAGGTTCATTCTATTCAGCTGTTTGGGTATGTTTAACTTTTGTACTAAAGATTGGTCAAGGTGCTTCCAGATCAAAATAGGTAAGCAAATGCTCCTTCCAATCACAAATGGGAATTTCCAATCAAGAACCGCAATAGAATGTTGCGTTGCAACACGGTATATTCCATGTCATGATCTCTATCCACCTATTGCAGCTTACCTTTGCAGCAGAAACAGCTGTTTTCTTGGTTGCCTGCTTAGCCTTCTTGGCTTCTTTTGCAGCCCTGTGAATTCACAGAAAAGGAGTAACAGTTATTTGTGCCTGCCATTCACTGTTTCTTTGTCTCAGCACTGTAAGAATTCTCTAAGATCCAGAAAGGAATGCATTACTTCAGGTTTAGTCTCTGCATTCAGTACACTCTAGGGATACTACTACAGAGAAAGCAGAACTCTGTGACAATAGCGGTACTTTCACAAAGGCATAGGGCAAGAATAGACCCTTCTCTGCTAGTATCTCTTGCTAAAATAATTCAGTATTAACTCCAAATAGACCAATTTAAAAAAAAAAAAAAAACAACAAACACAAACCCACAAAAAAAAAGCTTATAAGCCACGGAGCTCCTCTAGAGTTTAAGCTCCTGTATGAAAAGCATTAATAAACTTTGAAAAGCCTGGGATAGCTGATGTCTCTGATTTCTCACCTAATAGCTTGTTCCCGCTGCGCCTTTCGTACTTCGGGCTTCTGGTTTCTTTTAGCCATAATCTCAGCTAAAGATGCACCAGTGATAGCTCTCTGAAACTTAACAGCACGGCGCGTGCGCTTCTTTTGTATCTCTTCCTAAAACGGCAGAAAATGAAGACAATTAGTATCACAAGACATGAAATAAAAAGCTAAAGACTATTATAGAAATAAGCTGCTATTAAGATTGAAGCTATTGTAAAAATGTATACAGAAGCAGAATTTTATTCCTCTCGCTTAGGAGTGAGATAAACTGATTTCTTGATTTGCCAAAGCAGATGAATAGCTAAAAAAAAAAAAAAACCCAACAAAAAAACCCAATGCATTCTCCTTTGCAAGGTATAAAACCAAAGTATTTTGGAAGAATGCCAGAAGTTGCCTTCTGTAACTCCCAGAAGAAAAAGGGGGGGAGGGATAGAGTCCGCTTTGATGGAATGTTCTGAAAGGAAGAGACTTCCCAGGTGTTTTAAGTGGGATCACGGTGCTGGGCAGCAGTGTAAGCCATCAAGCATCAACTTTCCTTCTCCAAACAAATTAGTAAAAACATTGTCTTGTAACACATATATAAGCCTTTCTAAATGCTCTTTTGCTGTGCAAGTTTAAGCAAGAGCGCTCAAAATGCTACATGCCTTATTTATCTTTTTCACGCAATGACAACTACATAGGAAAGACCTCCTCCTAAGTTACAGCCCAAAGTTTTCAAGAAGGGTACGTAAAAAATTCCCACCGCCTTTAACCCTCATATCATCTGTAAATATGATCCACCAGATTTTCAGCTCTCTACACTATCACCATTCAGGAAATTTACAAGTCTACACTTTTAGAAAGTCTATATATTAAACAGCATTACCCAGCTTCTGTAAAACTCATTTTTTAAAACGTGTTAAAATCAACTGAACCTAAAATGGTTCTGAGTGAGCCCTCCAAGAAATTATATAATACAAATACAATGCTTTTGCTGAACTGGTTAGCTTTCAAACATAAAGCAACACATAAACTCATGTAAACGCACTCACATTTTCACCACTGTTGGCCAGTCTTCACCCTAGTTATAAGGGTCACGCTTCTGCTAAACACCAGCATACTCTATAATAGTTATTTCTATTCTACCAGACTGTATACTTTTGGTGGAAAGCTTTAGAGCAGTATTAGTTGGTATATACTTACTGACTGTCCTTTCTTGTGTTTACGCCTATACAGAACAGTCCAGTTGATTTGACGGGGGTTTCTCTTGGAAAGGAATGCAGACTCACATTTTGCATTCAAGAACTGAAAAACCTGTGAAGGCAAAGTATTTTGTGTAAGCTTTGTTTCTATGAAAGACATTATTACAGTTTACATTAACATATCAACTAATTCTTTGATGCAGTGTTTTCCAACAGAAGTGCTTTTGTATTTCTTTACACAGCCCTGACAACCCCAAATTTCAGAACGTAATTTAAAACATTTAAAGTTTGGAATTTTGTTCCATTGATTAAAGTGATGTCTTACAAGGCGTTCCATTATAAAGAACTTTCCAGGCCTCATTTAGTTCTCTCACAATAAAGCCTAATGTTACAGTTTTTTGTTTTCATAACACAACAAAGCAGCTTATTTTTTTCTGAGGAAAGCTCAAATTACCACTCGCATCAACTACTGCACTGTATTCTAGGTGCAGCATAATAGCCACATCCAGCATCATACTTTTCAAGTGCCTGTCTTTACGTAACTGCGTACTTCCTGTGTGTGTAAACCCGTCAAAACTTGACATAAGGAACACATGGAGACCAATACTCTGCCCAATTCCTTCTCACATAGTTACACGAACCTTTTCGTCTAAAATAACAGGCAGAATTAGCAGGCTGATTTATTGTGAGCCATACAATTGAATCTGAAGAATAAACAAATTCCCAGGAGAAGACCTGAGGATTCAATCAGTCCAATTATTTAGGTATCGTTTCCCAGGAGATTCTGTACAGCAAGACTACTATCCTGTATTAGGATGTCCAAAACCCAAACTCTGCTTTTGTAGATACGAATAGTGTATTTCCATTTATGACTGTCCAGTCTGTATGAGATATGAGAGCCTGAAAGGGCTCTCCTCCCTATTTCATCCCAATGATCCGAACCCAAATTATTTGCAACTCCCGTTGTTTGCTTCAGAAAGTCTCAGCGTTAGATGTGGTATGCCAAAAGAGCATTTTCTACAGAACTTGGGTATTTTAGACCAGACGCTTTAAGGCACCCTTCCCAAACCACAACCCAAAACCCGCCCCAATGTCCCAAGCTACAGCACAAGCACGATTCTCCCGCGGACCAGGTCTGACGGCAGTCACGACATCTGGGCACCGACGTAAGCACGGCGATGCGACTCTCATACCCCTCAGTCAGGCAGACACGACAACAACGCCACCGGAGAGCCCGGGGGCAACACCGAGTTCCCCACCGCGTCTTCTGGGCCAGGCCTTCGCTTCGCCCAGCACCGCCCTCCCTCTTCCACAGGGCCCGCTCCCGCTCGCCCCTGCCACCCCCGGCCTCACCTTGCCGTCGGTGCGAGCGTAGCGGCGCCCGTGGCCCGGGTAGATCTTGTACCCGCTGAAGCTGCACAGCTCGACCCTGCGCGGGAGAGAAGAGTTAGGGGAGAGAGCGGGAGT